GATTTTTGATCGTTTTATGGCCTAAGTGGTCTACGCAAAAACCGTAAAAAAAAAGGGTTACCCCTAACAATATTAAAAAAAAAAATGTTAAAATAATATTTTGCTAAATTTGAACAAATTTAAAAACAAAAATCACTACACAAAACTTGGATATACTGCTTATTTATATCTAGAACCATAGTTTCCATCTTGACTAGGGTTGATCAACACAATTACAGGGTTGAAACTCGGATATATTTCACCACTCGTCCGGATTTCGTTGCACAGCGCCACCTATTTGAAAACTGTTGCACGTAAAAAGAATACATTACTTTACATGGGTCGATTACTATTTACATACTCGATTTGACATATTAGCTTTTATTGCCTGCTGATGGTCATAATTTTAAATAAATTTTAAAAATGTAAAATTATTGTTATACATCTTTAATAGGTTTTTAAAATCTTCTTGATATTTTTAGTCACAGAAATGTTAAAACCTTTTTTTGCCTTACCCTGTAAAAACCTCCTGCTCCCTCCACTTAAAAGGCTTTCTATATTTATGTATATTTCGTAACAAATCGAAAATTGTTTTTATTACTTTCTGATCAAAATCATACAACGTTGTCAATTCGTTTTGTTGATTACTCATTTATCGCATTATAATAATGTGTTTTTGGTTTATGTTTGTTTTTTGTTTGTTTTTTTTTTTTTTGTATTTTTCGTTTTGTATTTTTAATCTTGTTTGTTTTTGTTTTTATGTTTGTTGCTTGCTTTCTTTAATAATAATTTATAATTATAATAATTTATATAATAATATTTTATAATATTACTTGGTAATTTATTTATTCCCATCAACGTCCATGGCCTTTTGTTTTTTTTTTTTGGGTGTGATGGGGGCGGGGGGTTTTCTCGGTGGAGAGTTTCCCACCGCCCCCTTTACACACACACTGGGCTCATTCAAGTTGCTTCTTAACTTTGCTTTTGCTTTTGCTTTTGCCTTCGCGTCTGCCTTTGTTTGTCTTTGCCTTTACTTTATGCATATGATTTTGGGATTTATTTACGTTTCGGTCTGCCATTTTTAGTTGTATTTCTTTTTATGTAATGCGCCTGCTGCCATAATTTTAGTTTGTAAAATTAACTAATCGTAAAATGTGTATGTGTGTGTGGCTGTGTGTGTGAGGTGTGTGTATGTATACTGATGTGGCTGTCTGCGGTCTGTCTGTGTGGATGTTGGTGTGTCGGTGAGTGTGTGTGTGTTATTTACAAGTCGGTTCATTTGTTAAGTGTCTTAAATGTTAGGTGTTCTCGCCTCCACTTCCGTTTCCGCTTAGTACTCACTCCTCCTCGATTTATTGCAAAGTATTATTATTACTGTTATTGGTATTGCTGACGTATATAATATATATATATGTGTATATATATATCTGCATACCGCCCTTGCGTGTGTGGTTCGATTATGTCCGCCTGTGAGTGTATAATTTATTACTTAGTCTGCTAAAAATTCACGTTTATATCCTCAATATAGGGGCTTCATATAAGTGTATGCCATGTATTGTATATAGATTTGTTTTGCCCTCTCACTTTCTCCTCCGATCGGATTAGTATAGACTAAAAATTCTCGTCACTGGTATTATGCATATAGTATATGTGTGTGTATATGTATGGCGATCGGTACTCGTGGGCATATATTGTTCATATATCGACCGATATCGATTAGATGATCGCATATGCCCGCGGCACTGATCTATCCTGCCTGGCTCTCTCTTCTCGTTTTCGTTCTCGTTATCGCTATCGCTTATGCTATCGCCATCGTTCCGCTATCGTTTCCATTTGCCATCAATAATAAATTGATTCTTTAAATAATGTTAATTGTATTTTACTTATATGGGGGCCTTAAGACCTAATCCGTACTGCCTACGTGTTTTTCGTTTCTTTTTCGTTTCGTTTCAAGTTTTCCAGTGTCACTCATTTGAAAATTTATAAACTGAGGACGTTTCCTTGTCTCTGGGTGTCTGTATAAGTGTGTGTTGTGTCGTGTGTGAGTGTTCGTTTGTGTGTGGGTATATATATATATGGGCGTATATATACCTATATAGCTTCAAATTAAAGCTTTATTAACCATGCTCGCGTTTTGTTTTCATATTAACAAAATTAAACGTTTCGTAATAATCGTACTCAAGACTCAATAATCAATAATCATAAATTACGATAACTGTACGTTATAACTAGTTAAATGTCCATTACCGTTACCGTTTACCGTTGCCTTTACCATTTACCATTACCTTTACCGTTAGCATTAACCATACAAGTACAAAAAAAAAAGATTGGATCTACTCGACTAATCGATTTCGATCGATTTAAACGATCTTCTGCGATTTGCGCTCGACTGGCTAGTTTTTGTATGCGGTATTTGAGTTATCCATAGGTCTGTATATCTATATAATTATGCTATATCTATATACCTATATATATCTGTGTGTATATAAGAGATATAAACTAGAAGTACGCTTAAAAGTATTCACTATATTCGATCTACTCCTTTCAGCTTCTATATCCGCTTCCTTAATTCGCATGTCCTTCGCTCCAGTGGTTGTGCATCTGTGGTTGTGGTGGCCGTTGTAATTCTTTTCGTAATTGTGGTTGTGATCTCGATTCTGCCATCGATTTCGCTTTCGATTTTGAGGGGGTGCATATCTAGGGGTGGTGGTCTTTCGATAGGAATGGGGATGGAAAGTAATCGACGTCTTTCGTTGGATATGTGCGAGTGTCTCTAGTTAACAAAAAAAAATAGTTATACATTTTAGGTAGCTGAAGATGGGGCTTTTTCTTCGGGACCCTCAACTTCTGTGCTGGGGGCTGGGAAATCTATCGTTTACTGGTTATCGAAGTCGGTTTAGTCTAATATTGCGTGTATAAATTGCGTACAAAACCCATAACGGGTTTCTCGTGTACAAATATGAATGCTTTATCTTGTTTTTTTTTTTTATTTTTTTTTCGTTTGTTCTCTTTTGTTTGCCATTTGTTACTGCTTTAAAATCTTTGTTTTTACTTCAGTTCTTTTTGAATTTCATTTTTGTGTAGATTTGTTGTTCTCTGTCTGCGTCTGCTTTACTGCGTTTGCTTCTTCCTCTACCCACATTTCCATATATTTATAGTGGTTTTTACTTTTGTTTTGTATAAATATTCAATGCATTATTTAATTAATATTTATTATTTAGTATTCGTTATTTGTTAGTAAGTATAATCAAAATTCCTCTAGTTGAAGGCAATCGGCGAATATATTTGAAATTATTTATGCAATTATTTTACATACGTTTGTTACGTTTTATCATTTACATTACATTACGTTTGACTAAACTTAGGATCTCCTGGAAAACAAGTTGAAATACAAATAGTTCCTTACTCTGACTGCTTTTCTACATAATTTTATTGTTTTATAATTTTATAATTTGTCTACCTGCCAGCTGCCGGCTGCTTTTGCCTTTCGTTTTTGTCTGGTTAAAAAGTCATCTGAATCTGGAAAACTTAGGTGTAATTTTGCTAAAGGTGTCTCGCTCTACGGTTACCAACTAATCCACATCGTTATAAAATACTTTATGTATAGGTATATACTTGTGTATATGTATGTATGTCGGCTATGTACAGGTTTTTTATGTTCTTGTGTTAAAAGTTAGGCTTACCGTAGGTTGTTAGTAAAAAAAATGTCCACCGACTTGACTTATATAATATATACACGATTTGCTGGTTGATCGATCGGTCTCACTAGAAAATCACTTTAAGGCAGTTTCCTATACACTCCATTAAATGCTGCTCGCTAACTTTGCTGCTGAACTCTGGGCCACCAACGAAATAAATCCCTTTCTATCATTTTCAAGCCTTTGAGATCTTGGGGCGTGGCATAAAAACAAAATACAATTCAATAAACACAACAATAAATAATACAAAAAGAATAAACCACATTTAAGCTGCGACTTATGCTATTTCTGTTGGGAAACAAAGTTCTTTTTTCACTGAAGTAGTAAAATATTTATGCTTTCCTGGAAGACCACAAATTAGGTGCTTGTGAAAATCTGTAGCCGCGCCCCTTAGTCCAGGGAAACAGCTTTTGCTTTTGGTTTCGATTTTGCTTCTACATCTCAGTCCTGGACCTTCGATCTCGCCTAAAAAGTTCACTTCACTAATTATTGTCTGCTATTTGTTCACACACACACAAATTGATATATACGCTAAGTGCCTAAAGTAAGCCTGAGCCGCGAAAGCCGATATCGGATATTGACAACCGACCATCGGTTATCTATCGGAAATCGAAAATCGATTATCGAAAATCCGGTAAAAAGAAACGAAACGAAGGAGGGTCAATGTCAAAGTCGTGGGCCTAGTTAATGATCTAAATACGAGTTCGATTTTTCGATTTTGGTTTCGCTTGTCGGTAATATTCAGCAATTTTGAATATTTTCGCTTAGTGCTATTAATTGGGTGTTTTTAAATTTTGGTTTCATTTAGCTTTAGCTTCGTAAAAATTTGTCTGAGAATGTGAATTGGCAGTTTCAATTTGTATGCAATATTCATTTTTGTTGTTCTTTACAATTTTGATTCGATTAGTATACAATTAAAAAACGCTTTCGCTTCCTAATAAAAAGTTTTCACTATAAGATTCGATTCGATTCTGCTAGGGAATTCAACTAAATTACCGTCACCGTAGCGCTAATCACTCACTTATTCGATTTAAAATGTAAGTTACGAGTATTTCACCAATATGCTTCACTAATTGTTGCTTTTAGGTTATTAGAATTCTTGGTTCATTTTATTGCGTCTTTTGAGCCGTGAGAAATTGACTTTCTTCTTCGTTTTTTATTTGTGCGGGTGCTAAAGGTGATAGATACAAGAATAAAAAAAGATTTAGAGAGAGAGAGAGAGAGAGAGAGAATGGAAGAGGGGGAGGAGGAGAAAGGGAATACAGGTGGGTCTAGAATCTGCAAGGACACCCCAAAAGGAAAACCAACAAAAACAATGATATGTATACAAGTCTCGTTTTTATTGCACGAAAGAACAAATAAGTGAGAAAGTACGATAGAAGTTACAAAACTAAAACTTTACCTTAGCCACCAAAGAATACATAATAAATATACACAAACAATATGGCAGAAACCAAATTCAGACCGGGAACAATCAAACAAACAAATGAACAAACAAACACAAACATTCACTAATATTATGTGGCACTAAAAACAAATACAATATTTTTAACAGAAATTCGTCATATTCTTACAGAAACAGATATTTTTTATGAGATAAACCAGATTTGTAGCCTGTTTTCACTAACAGCGGAAGTTGTACGAGAAATAGCACACGTTTTGCTCGATAAAAGTTTTTTATAGACTGCACTAGCACACACAATATCAGTGTAAACTCACCGTTCACACATTTTATCGAATATGTACATATGGCAAATTAAACTTTTTCTTGGTGAAAACAGGCTTTTTAAGTCCACGGGAAGAAAAAAAAAGAGTTCAGTGGGAGAGAGACGGGAAAAAAGAGTGAGAAAGAGAGAGAAGTGCCGTGCTGTGTGGTGAGAAGTGGACAGAACTGTACCGGAGGTGGTGAAACGTGGTGAAAAGTCATCGATGTTACAGTTAGCTCTGCCTGTTTCCACTTCCGTTTTTGTTATCGTTTCCGTTTCCGCCTGTGCTTATTGCTTCTAAGATTGCGTCTATGAAATGTCCTTCTTAACCTCTAATTTCAGCTAGTACAATTCGAATTCCTCGAGTTAATATTCTGCGGCAAACACTTTGAAAAATAAAGTCTTGCGTGTTGTTCGTTTGCCTTTGTTTGTTTGTTCGATCGCCCCTAGTACTGTTACGATATTTTACAATTGCTTTTAGTTGGAGTTACAAGTTACGAGATACGAGAGTTTCCATCTTTAGCTACACTAAGTATTCTGTGTTTCGTTTTCGTTTCATTTTCTTTTCTTTGTTTTGTTTTGTTTTCTTTTAATTTTCATTAGCCTAGCATGTAGATCATATACGTATCGCTTTAACACTATCGACTAATGGCAATTTCCTTGTAATATGCTTACGTTTTGGTATGGTATTCCTTCTTATTCGCCCCCTATAATTACAGTGTAAGTATCCTCGATATTTATACATTTGCTTTTCGTTTACCTTCTCTCTTATTGCGTGTCTGTGTGTTGGTGTTGTTTGTGGCTGTATGTGTGAGTGGCTTAAACCTACGAATCCACGACAAAAAAAAAACGCAGACAAAAAATGTTCAGTTTGAACTAGAATTACAATTACGTTACTTAGTTGGCTATAAGCTGTTAAAAAAAATACGCTAAAATTACTTATTACCATTTATTGTTACATTTATTGTTTTTTCGCTTCAACCTTACACCCACTTCTCCTCCCTCTAAATCGTAATGCGTCTTTGAGTATGCTGAGTAGTGTGAGTAGACGGAAAAAGCACTCAAATTAGATGATTTGAATCCAAAGTAAATTCCGAAAGGAGTCAGGTTTTGAGCAATTCCTGATTCTGAGACAAGGAACAATCTTGGGAGGTGTAATTCCTTTCGCTTTTTCTCTACTACTTTCAGTATTGCAGTTGACCCCACGAAAAAACCTCACTTTTTTAAATGGAGCCCCCCACTCATTTAGTTCTTATATGGTCTTTAACTATTTTAACTTGATTTAACTGGTTTGTTGGCAGTGACATTTGTTGTTAGATTTGCATCTCTGGCTTGGCTTTTTCTGGCTGTGTTTTGGTCGTCCTTAGAGAGATGGGGAAGTACGGGGGAAAAACTTTTGAGGCATCTGCGTGACTGGTTCTTTGGTCCATTTCTTGGGGGTTTCGGAAGTCAGAAGGATCCAAAAAGGAAAAGTTATTCGGATCTCCAAGTGGAGAGTGGGAGGTGCGCTTCAAAAGGTTTTCTGGACGGATATTACGATTTGTAGCACATGATGAACTTGTGGATGGGTGACTAACTCTTGGCGGGGGGCCGTTATCGGGAGGTTTCACTGTAGGGCCACCTGCAATGCCTTTTGACTTGGCGAATTGTCAAACTCCAAACTGAACGCTCGCTTAAAGGACTTAAATCGCAAGCGGTATTATATTATTATCGTTATGTTTACACTTGATTCATATGGTTAAGCGTGTGAGTGTCCCGCCCGTTTTTCCCGGGGACTTTTCGCATTTTCCTCTTGAGTACTAGGCGTATTTTTTTCGAAGAGAGAGAGAGAGTTGAATATGCTCTATTATTAGTGGAGTTAATTGATTTATGCTGCGAATGTTGGCTGCTCTCTTTTGCTGAATGATCGATCGATAATTATATATATATATATATATGCTTTACATGCTATATACGCTTGTGTCTGTGTCTGTGTGTGTTTGAGTGTGGTGTGGTATGGTATGGTATGGTGTGTGTGTGTGTGAGCTTAAGACATATCCGTTTCCGTCTGTCTGTCTTTGTTGTGGGAGTTGCGTTATGTTCGGTCGGTTTTCGGTTATATAATGATGCGCGCTATAGTTTCTTCTAATTAAACTATGTAAATGTATCTTTTGTTTCGGTTTTCGGTATTCGGTATGGTATTTTCTGAACTTTCTTTGATATTTACTGATATTTTCTGTTCGTTTCGTCTCGGTTTTTTTCCTGTTCTTTGTTTTCTTCATTATTATTTCTCTATCTGCTCTTTTCGGTTTTCAATTTTTCATTTCCGTCTGTATACAAAAAATTGTGTTTTCTGTTTTCAGTTTTCATTTTTTTGGTTGCTTTTTTCCTTGTTTTTGTTTTTTTGTTCGTTTCGTTTTTGTTTTTGTTTTGTTGTTCATTTGTTTAGCGGGTAATACAAATGCTTAGAGTTAGAAAAAAAATGTTTATATATATATATAATATATATATTATATATGTAGAATTATTTGTATGCTTGACTTAGTTAACCTACATTCGAATACATGAACACTTCAAGATATCATTGTAATAAGTAATTTAATTGAATTGAATTTAATTTAATTAAACTGTTACTCTTCTCTGCGATTTCCACTTGCGATTTTCTTGACTTTCTTTTGCTGTTTTCGGGAGGCGGGGATGCTTTTCCTTCCCCAGCCTGTCGTTTTGCTGTTATTGATCTTGTTGCATCGTTTTTATGGTACTCCTGCTTCTCATCGGTGAAAGTGATGCTGATTTTCTCGTTGTTCTTCTTCTTCTTCTCGTTTTTTTTTTTTTGGGTTTATACAGAAATGCAATTTTCCGCGGGCGTCGTCTCGACTTTGTTGATGTTTGGTTTAGTTAACGCTGCGTGACAAGCAAAGTGCGATGTGTTCTACGGGGCGTATGAGTGATGTCGCTGTAAGCGTGAGTGTGTGTGTTTTGTCGTCTGTGTGTGTGCGTTTTCAGTGTTTGTGTGTGTCTGTTTCCGTTTCCGGTGCTGTCCATTTTGGCTGCTGTTCTTTCTTCGGTTGTTGTTGTTGTTGTTTTTCTTCTTCTTCTCACACTTTGACCTTGTCCTTGGGGCAACTTTTCTATGGGTCGCTGATCGCTGATGATTACCAAGCGATCCTTTCGTGGTTTGTGACCTTGTGATCCCTGGCCGACGACAGGCGCTAATTGCCATCGGTTGGGGAATCCTGTCCGGAAGTCCCAGGGCTTCCTTTCCTTCCTTTCTTTATCCGTTTTCCATTTTCTTGTTACTTTACTTAATTGCCATTGAATTTAAAAATTTACTTTCGTTGCGTGGTTGTTGGTGTTTTCCTATTTTCTCCATATTTCTCCCTGCTTCCGTCCATTTCCGTTTCCGCTTCGATATTATTTTGCTCAATGCTCTGCTGTGGTTGGATGTGTTTGTATCGACTATCGATAGACTGACTAGCCGGCTATCGATCATAGTCAATGTGGTTGAGAATGCTGGCTGATTTATGACTGACTGCGCTGACGATAGTTTTTTTGGTTGTATTTTTAAGATACGTTTTTTGTTTTAAAGATTTTTAAGCGGTGTGTTGGGTTCTTTGAATGAAGCGGCTGCTGCGAAGATCTCTAGATTCCATTGTGGTTGTAGCTTTTCTTTCTTAGTCTTGTTTTTGTTGTTGTTGTTGACAAATGTTGTTGATTTCGATGGTTTTTAAATGGAGACGACAAATTGCATTTTGTATTGCTTCTAATACTCCCAATATCATGCATCCTGTATTTCACCTTTTAAGCCAGGCACCCTGTGGTGTTGGTTATGTCCTAAACGATTCGCTAAGTCCTGTACAACATCACGAAATATAACTGTATCTATGTTTTCACCTAGTAAATACAACAAAAACCAATCGCCCATCTTCGAACGACGAACGATTATTTCAATAGCGTCACGACGCACTAACCTGTAATTAAAAAGTATCGATTAGTAAATGGATTTTTTTTTTTAAATATAATATAGTTGAGGCAATCACTAGATTTAATGAGGGGATTAGCACGTTAACTAGTTTACATATGTTTTTTAAAGCTCGTTGTTTAAATTAATCCCATATCGTTCCTAGCATTGCTCAACTATAGTCTACAACTCACCTAAATCGCATACGAAATAAGTAGACCCTCATTCGAGGTGAGAATATAATAACCACCCTGTATATTAGCGTTAATAATGTGAGAAACGTTAATAATATAAACCAAAACCAAAGGAAAATGTAAATCTTCTCATTAACAACGTTTAATGGTAAAATGCAAATGGCGTCGTGTTTCTCCACCTAGAAAAACAGATTCAATTATTATTCGCATCTTGGGTTTTTAGAGCGCTGCATTCGTTACTCACCTCCCCACTTGAACCATATTTAAAAAATGTACATTTGGTCATTCTGGGAAATATGTAAATCATCGGATCCATGCGATCTTCCTGATCGGTCTCCATATAATCTATCACATCCAGGCCAAATGTCATAAATTCGCCATCGAAAAATCGATTCATAAGAAACATTTGACCTGCAAAGGAACCACAAAAAAGATACAAATCAGCACCAAAGAGATACAGAGATACACTTTTCGTTCGGCTTGGTTTATCTATCCTGAGACTATCTGTGTTTATCGGACACGGAATTTCGGAATTGATTTCTCTTTTGCCATCGACCTCCGATTTAATACCGCTCATTTTCCGCTTTTCCCCCCAATGTGCATGGGTGCATTGTGCGATGTGTGGAAAATTCGGCGATTCGAATCGGTACGGCAGGCAAGGCGATGCGGACTTTTCCCAACCCAACCCAATCAGATGCGATCGGATCCGCTTCATCGATCGGCGGCCAACGAGGCGGGAATGAATCGATTTACTTCGTAATTACAACTCACCCACACCCGCTCGCCCCATTAATTACGGCAGATCGGAACGAAATCGGATTCAGATTCAAATTCAGATTCAGATTCGGAATCGAAATCCATCAATTGCCCGCGTTAATTGCGGCTAATTGGGATGGAGATGGAGGTCAATGAACAAACAATGCCCCCAAGGTACGTTAATTTTTATGGCGGACCGAAGCGCATTTCATTGGCTTTATCGGGAGAACAATAAAGGAATTACCATTGGATTTATGCTGCCCAAAGAGAGCACTTAAAATTCTTAACGATTGGCATAATCACTTGCACAATAAACTTTGGATGAAGATGCTTTCGCTGAATGGCGCATAATTATGTTTTCAACTTATTTGGCAACTAGATAGGCAGATAGATGGATGGGGTTTCTCATATACAGAGGTAAAAGCGTGATTCCACTGACACATATTTCTACATCCCGACCGAATGTACATTACCCAGGCAAGAAGACTAAAGTCGAGCATCTTGACAGTACTCAATATGGAAAATGTAATCTTAAGCTTCAAGGAAAAATCGAACAAAAGATACTCCTAAATTAAATAAATCTGATTTTATTACCAGTAAAATGAGGCTCATTAATCACGTAACTCACAAAATTAATTCTGCTGTGTAAAAAATAGATTACTGATAATCCATAACTTTCCCGTAATTTCACACCGCTTAATAAATAAATTCGAAAAATTAGTTTCGAAATCTTCGCGTAGTTGCAGTCAGAAAAATATTTTAATTGGCCGACTGTATTTATAGGTCCGCCATTAAATGCATTTCGTGGCGCCTCACCTTTCAGTCAAAAAAAGAACGCCTCCCGATTTCCATTTTAAACCTCCACTTTCCCCTGCTGACTAATTGACCCATTTCAAATTTCTGGCCAATTAGGCCCGCGTTTCCCAACCGATCGCCCCTCGCACTTTTCAAACGCGATGTCAGCCATTTTATAAACGTGTATTACTCGCATTATTATTGTTTATTTCCAATGTTTTCTGACAGTTCATTATTTTGTCAGATTTCGGATTTCAGCGCGCACGCCCCACGAGAAGAGAGGACCAGAAATCGGGGAGCTTTTGTTTATTTTGATGCGGGGCGGTCAGTCGATAAAAATTCGTCATTGATTTTTCGGCGTAAAATCGAACAGGGAATGTTAATGAACGCCGAATTTATGCTGCGCCATCCCAAGAAACCGTTTTGTTAACCCCGAAACTTTGTTTACCGATCTCACTGGCGCACCTGGAGAATTTGAAAGATTGGCAGGAGCACCGAAAAAAAAGTGGGCTGTGATTTATTTGGTGAAAAAAAAAACGGAGGCCCATATCCCAATTCTTGATCTTAAAACTATAACTGAGCTGTGATTTATTTCACTGGTAAAGTAATATATTATAGATGTTGTAACTGAAGTTTAAAATCATTTCCTAATATGAGTACGTGGTAAATACCTGTCAAGACTCTCAACTTTATAATTCTTCCCTACTTCATATTAATTTGATCTTTTAGGATCAAAACCAAAGATTAATGAAGTGTTTAAGTTTGTGCAGTTTACTTACCTATCACATTTATAAGGGCGAGCAGCTCACACACGTAATATCTGTACGCCCACCAATTGTGATATCTGCAAAACAAATCGAAGCAATTAGTTGTGACTCAGATGTAAATAAATACATGTGGAAGCTTTGCCAATGCCAAAACTTTTGAAAGAGTTTTCTTTGTCTCTGGAGAACTTTGACTCGTGACTCACAGTTCCCGTGAATTCTTTGTTAATTACGGGGACTGTTGAACGGAAGTTGAAATTGTTTGGAAAATTGTCTACAAAAGGTGAATTCAAGTGCATTGTACTTTTTAAACTTTATTTTAAATAATTGAGGATTGAATTGTTTACTTCTAGGGAACTTTACACTTAATGTTGGTAAAAAAAAAGATTCTGAATATTCGATTTTCGTAGAATAAAACAAACAGCAAGATTTTTAAAATAAATTATCACACACAAATTGAGAAAGATTCTAACTTTGAATTTTCTGGGAATTTCTTGCTTTAAACTCTTTCAAAATGCATTTGCACATTGGTGTTGCACTTACCTTAAATTTTCCCACAAATAATCTAAAAGTAATTTCTTTTTTTGTTTTTTCTCGGCTTCGGAACAAATGCCTATGTCTAAGTCCATGATGAGCGCATGAATCTTGCCACCCTCCCAAGATTTCCACAGCCATCTTGGTGTATAAAATAAGATTGCCTGCAAAAAGCGAGAGGAGCGGATAACAGAGGGGATGTAGTGGCCATATGTATACGTATTTATAGAGATCTGCAAAGGTGAGTTCCGCGTGGGCGTGATGTCGCATTGGAACTGTCGTAAAAGCGAGAAAAAATACCCCTGACAAGTGACATTCGCCAGCTGTTGGTTAGATTGCGGACCTCCGATTCCAGCCGAGAACAATGCTATATGGCATATATACCATATAACGGAGGAGGCATTAGTGACTGACCTTCCCCAGCGACATAATTGTCTTTGCTAATTCCATTTCATTTCATTGCATTCCATTTCTTTTGGGCCCTTGTCAATTAGCCATGAGCCATTAGGAGCAGACTGTCCAACGGGCTTACCTACCACAATATCGGGCGATCCGAAAGACAGACAGGCAGACACGAATTCTTGCTTAATTGTACCCATTAATTCGTTGGATCCGTCTCGTGTATCCATGCTTTTATATCCACATCACTCCAAATAATATTTTTTTACTATTTGCTCAGCATTATATTGATCCCGAAGTCCCCAATCCTTCCAATTGAAAAATATACCCAGCAACTCCATATATAAAATAATATAGTACGGGGTATTAAAAAGTCCCAAAACCCCTATCTCAATCTTAGTGTTCCTGCTCGTTATAAGTCCGTCTGTATTTTCTTTTCGGCGGGGTATTTTAATGACCGACCCGATGACAAATTAATAATAACTTGTATCGTAAATTAGCAGGGGATTCTGACCATCTTCAGACAGCTGGGGATTGGGCTGCTGGGCAAATTGTGTATGGCGTGTTTGCTTTGGCACATGACAATGTCGCCCATCATCGTGATCTTGAGTCTGAGTCCCTGGCAGGTGGTAATCCCCATGTCTTCCGATGTCTTACGATCCAACGAGGTGAGAGTTCAGTTTGTTTAGTGGGCGCCCGACTGGCGGCTGTCCGTCAATCCCGGCCAGCGAATTTTCCCCCTCCAAATATTTCACCACACGCGCTGGGTTTCGTGCCCCAAAGTTTGCATTTGTGCGATCTTTGGATTCCTTGGTTTCTGGATTTAGCTGCAGTTCCAAACTATTAGCCATTGTCGTACGCATTTGGCTTTAATTGGCACAAAACCATCTGCATCTCTTCCATCGGCCAGTGACGGCAATCGCTGTACATTTACACAGAAAGCACAATACGTAAGGACAGACTAATATTGCGTGGAATTTAAATTGATTTTTAAGACCTAAAATATTTTTTAAGTCCTTAATAGAATTTTTAATAAATTTGGAATTTTAAAAATTGGAGACAAAAAAATTTAATGGTTATCCTTTTGCGAAAAAATTGTACAAAAAATTGTATTTTGCGAAAGTTGAAAAACTGGGTATGCAGCATTTTTAAGTGTCAGGAAAAACCCCTACCCGCCAAAAATAAAATGATTTTTGATTATTTTATAGCCGTTTTAGCACTTTCAACCTATGTTGCCATATTTCCTAACACAGTTGTTGGTTTTAGGGAGAGTTCTGTTGCCACGCCCTGCCGGAAGTCAAATGATGCGTTTGATTTGCTCCATCACCCCAGTCTGCCCTTTTGTGTATACAATCGCCAATTGCATTTCCCCGACGACAGCCCAAATGAGGAAGAGAAAAGAAGGGTGGCCTCTCTCTCCCCATTTTCCTCCCGCTTTTCTTCTGTCCGTGTGTGGAAAGCAATTTGGCAAGCGTTCAAATGGCAAAAGCGTAGCGTAAATGCAACTGCAGCAGAAGCAACAATCAAAGCGAAAGGCAGAGGGCAAAAGAAAAGTCTTCGAAGAATTCTTCGCTGACTCCAGACACTGCAACCTCATATGGCAAAGAATTTTACGAATTATATATTGATTCAAGTTATTATCAGTCTAAAAATTTAAGTTAACAATAATTCTTATTAAGCTCCTCAATCAAAATTTCCTTACTGGAATTTATCTTTTTACCTATCTTTTTTATCAGTAAACTTCAATCAATGCTCCAAAATAAAAATGGTCCAGAAAATCCGAATAAGAAATAAATGCTTTGGGAAATTTGAAAGATTTTCTAAAGATTAACCAGTGTCCCGCGAAAGGAATCGCCTAGGAAGTGTCTGATCCCATGTGATCCTATCTGTCACTCCCCCAGGCGACGGCCGTTCACTTATTTTTCGAAAATCGAGGGGAGGCCAAAAATACTCGCGCATAAGTCAAATATAAACAGCTCCCACTCCAGAAACCTTTGGCCATATTCCCTATGTTCCCGGTTCTCGGTTCCCGGTTCCCAGTTCCCGGTTCTCGATTCCCTTTCCCGATTCTCACTGGCATATCCATGGGTTTTTGTTTCAGCAATTCCCTGGCATCTGGCCAGAAATATTATTTCACTTTTATGTTTGTCTGCGCCTTTTCAATAAATATCTAGACACGTCGGGCGCAGAAATATGAACGGAGGGGCGGGGAAAGTCGAAACGGGGGGGCTATATAGTGGCGGAGAGGAAGAAATGCCAATTTTTGACATATCAGAGGGAGAAGACGGATCGATCGAATCGAAATGATCGAAATTGATGGCTGCAGGTCTTTCAGTTTTTATGGCTGCATTGTCCAAGTTAATGACTGTTCTGGCCATTAGATCTAAATGGCCGATCGATGATAACCAAGAATTTATGGTAATTGGGCCAGGTGCTGTTGACGAGTTTGTTCCGTTTCTTTTTTGGTGCAAAACCTTGGGGTACTTAAAATCATTTAAGGTGCTGTTACACAGCCAAAAAATTGGATACACTTGGTTGCACATGTTTGGATCGGCTATTAGATATATTTTCATTTTTGTTTTGTGTAAATATCCCCGCCTTGTTGCTCTCGAAAATCAATGATCCACGATTGCCGGCATTTTTTTCGGTTTCTTGTTTTGTTTTTTGTTATTAATAAATCGTGCAACGAAAATTGGGGGAAAGTGTAAATTATAGAAACGCGTCTACGCGTCATTAAGCAGGGAGAATACCATGATAAATTTATTTATAGGAATTTGGGTGACTAGAACGTCTCTATAATCGCTCTGTGACACTAACCGAGAAAAGCTCCACCGATTTTCCCCGCACCGACAAAGTGTGATAAAAATATACATTTAATATTTGTACATTGTTAGCGGGAAGATATATTGTGTAATCGTCGCACCGACCAGCAAACGCCTTCATATATATGTATATGCGACTCGATCTATATATACCCAAATACGCCATATGGAGGGCGACGTCACCGATTTGGTCAGGGGTGTGGGGCCCAGAAAATTTCAGTGGTAGGGGGCTGAAATGGCATCCATGACACAATCAATCTCCTTTAAGCGGTGCCAGCAATTAGCGATGACAGTTTGGGAATAGATCAGGTGGCGGGAAATAGGGAGGGAGTGTAGGAAAAGCGAAGAAAAACTATAGGGGCACATGCGATTTTGATTTAAATGTTTTCTTGATCGGTTCTTAGTAAGGATCCGGGAATTATATCAGTTAGTTAAGGGATCCTATCCATCTCAGTTAAATATCTACAACTGTTATGAGTATAAATTAATTTTTTTTATAAATAAATTAAAAAGGTATTCTGTAGATATATATTTATTTCCCCTTTCCCTGTTGCTTTTCCCGCTAGTGAAATTTGTTCTTAGCGCCTCAGCTCACTTTTTGATCCCATCGATTGCCGATCAATCACTTGCCGTCCATCGTCCCCTTTCTTTCTCGCCCAGCATTCCCGTCTCTGTCTGGCATCGCCTACGTCACAGCTCGAACTATCTTTGAGATACTCGCAGCGGTACAAGGCCAGTCCAATCAGCAGCAACAATAACAAAGCGGTGCACACACAAAATACTTAAACATTTTCATTTGGCTCACAAAAGGCCAAACCGCAAAACAAAAAAAAAAATAAGAAAAAAAAATTGGAAAAAAAAGTGGAACAAATATTTGGAAATTGAAAAGTATGCATGGCGATGTATCTCAATGGGACGCTCAGTCAGCGAGAAATCGCTTAATTACTTAATCCATCAAATCATTCAACGCCCCCAAACATAACGATCAACTGATCTATGGCCGATTTCTGGGTCGACTTTTCGGTTTTATTGGCTGCGCAGGCGTAGCGTCATGAGTTATGGCATCGATTCTTAATTTGTTTTCTATTTTAAATGCCCAAGTGATTGATTACCCTAGGATGTTTTGTAGGATTTTTCAATTAGTTGTCACTTTATCGTAAGAGATTTCTGAATTGAAACACTTTTAATGGGTTTTTTTGAAACCATTGATAATCTAAGGATTTCAGCAGATCATAGATAATATTTCTTTTGGTATCTTAACTTATTTATATTATCTTTGTTTGAACTCATAAGACCCCGAAGAATTGAAAAAGTTTAGTGTGGTCCGGAAATGAAAACCTTTTGTACCTGAAAGAAGAGGCAGAAGCAGACCCATTGGTAGTACTTGTAGTGCTTCTTGTCCGCCGGATCGCCGTCGGAGTTGCCGATGCCCGGATACGGGACCGACACGCCCTGCTTCTTGAGGAAGAGGCTCTTGAGCGTGTAGGTGGACTGGATCCAGCAGTACGTGTTCAGCACATCCTCTGGAATATCTTTGGTGTGCACACAATCGATCGGATTGCCCACGTACTGGCGTGTGGTTATAATTAGCGAGAATGACATCAGAATCATCACAGTTATTGAGTAGTGCAGGCGGAATACTATCGAATCGGTTTTAACGTGACTGACCTTTACAAGGTTTTTCAATCCACGAAATATATCTAACATGGTTTGTCGTCAGCGAATGCTGGCAAGACCGGCGATGATTCTTCTCTCTGGCCTCGCTTTCTTATCGCTTTTCCTTCTCTTCGTTGTATTTTGTTCTTAGTTAGGGTTGCTTTTCGATAGTATCGAATGTCGGGGTATCAGAATATCAGAGTATTGTGTGGCTATCGACCGATTGTGCTCCCGATTCCTGGCTGTGCTTTCTTTTGCGCGGCAGGCCCATTATCGGCGCATCGGCT